AATAATAATAATAATAATAATAATAATAATAATAATAATAATAATAATAATAATTAAAAAAAAAAATTGCAGATGAGATGCAACTATAAGCCGTGATATTTTTATATACGTAAATAGTAAATATAAATTGTTATTGAATTTTTGTCGTGTTCTTAAAATAATCATTTTTTTTTTTTGAAGGAAGTTGAATGTGTTGTAACACGACATGCGTCACAGGCTTATAGTATCTTAGCTCATTCGTCATTTGCTAGCGCGATCAGGCGTGCGCGCGCGCGCGCACGTTTTGTGACACACGAGGAAGACGGCCTTGTAACGTAATATACATATATATATATATACATACATACATTATAGATGCATGTATACAAGCTACTAGGAGTATGCCATTTTGACGCTTTTATTTCCGGACTATATGCGATACGATAAAATATTTCTTTTCTTTTTTTTTTTTCCTTATTTCTTGAATAAATTATTGTTGAGAGAAGTATAACGTTAAAAAAGTATTCTTTATTAGTAATATTTTTATGCTAGGATAAGAAATATGAATTGCAAGGATAAACGTTTCACTTCAATGCACTTTTTAATTCATCAACAACCTATTATTCATTAAATATGAACTCGATATTTTCGACACACTGGTGGTGCATGGTTGGTTTATTACCGACCGAGTGATGGACTACTGTTTTTTTCCTCGAAAAATGATTTTCATTCGAAAATTTTCATCCTTGTTTTTCTTATTTTTTAATCGATTAAGAATTTATTTGTATATAATATAGAAAATAAATATTAGATGAGTTATTGCTACGAAGCAATATCGTTGATGCTTTTTAAAATTTCTAACGCCTGTATTTATCTCTCGATCGTTTTTATGTTTTCTTTTAATTATGCATTTGTATTCCTACCTTTTATATCAAAATTATTAAAAATACAACAAAGATAATAGTACGATGGGTTTGAAATATCTACAAAATTTTATTACATTTTAATAATCTTTGTATTGTGTTGTAAAAGATTGCAAAAATGTTTGTTTTGTTCTCTTCTGTTTTTTTTTTTTTTACTTTTTTCATATACTGGAATACAGTATTGTAAAATATTTAACTACGCGAATTCTTTTCATTCCGTTGAATCTTCCGAAATTTTGGAGAATTTAATCGGCTATTTTTTTTTTTACCAATACATAAATTATTTATAGGACATTTAAGTAGGTATATCTTTATGCATTATGCATATATAAATATACATTTATTTACATTGAATTATTATAATTAAATTCTTCGCGCTTTCCTTGAGAGTCATCGGAAATATCAAAGTTGATTTTTATTTTGATGTTGGTATAATCATTGGAAATATGATTCGATTATATACAGTGTGTTACAAAAGTCACTTTACGAGAAAAAAAGAAAAACAAACAATATCAGTTTTATTTAATAATTAGTTTTTTATTTCACAATATGGATTTCCAATTACAGTAGTGTTGTTAAAAGGGTAAACCGTTCAAGACTGCTGGTATTTCAAATACTTCACCAGAAAAAAATCTATCGGAATGTTTGAAAAGTTAATGCCGATTAATAAAAATATATTTGATCGATATACTTTTTACATTGCAAAATATTTAGTTAACGAATTTTATTAATTTCATTAAATCTTTCGAAATCGTTGAAAATTTAATTGCCTTGTTTTTTACTAATAAATAAATAATTTATATGATATATTTAAATAGGTATATCTCTATGCATTTTATGCACATATAAATATACATTTATTTATATTGAATTATTATAATTAATTTCATCATTTTCCTCGAGTCATCGGAAATATCAAAGTTGTTCTTATTTCATGTTAGTATATAATCAAATAAACGAGTATTTTATTATAAATGACGTAAGATTTGACATAACCTATAAGGAAATAAATTTAATGTATGCTCAATCGTCTCAAAAGAATTAAAATATGCAAAGAGAATGGCAAACAAATATTCTTATTTGACCAATTTTTTATCATTTAAGTAATATTTTAATTCTTTAACAATAAAAATGTTTTTCTGCAATCGAATTAATATAAATTTGAAAGTTTAATCATTCTCAAATAGATTTCTGTGTATAAGAATTTTGAAGTATTCCATTACAAGGAAATTATTTCGAATTTACAATAGAACCGAGTACAAATATTTTTGTTACTTGTTATATTTCAAATCTTATTAATCGTTACGAACATTTTTAGGCAACCAAATAGTCATTTTTAAACTATTAATTTGGTAAAAGTTGAAAATTGAATAACTTAATGAAACATAATTATTTTTTGCTTAAAAAACATTTGGTTAATAACTTAAATACCTAAACTTTGTAATGATTATCAATCTGTACTTTTCATTTTATTTATTTTTTCTTGATTTTCCAATCCGTAGTATTTGTAATTGTTTAATCCGTAATATTGTTTAATTATTACCTTTTATTTTATTGAAAAATTTTTCTATTATTTGAAAAACCAATGATAATATTATATTTTATATTAAAATACATTGTCAAAAATAAAATAGTCGATATCTTTCATATGATTTTCAAGATATTCATAGATTATCAATTACAATAATATCCACACTTACCCTATCTAGATTTTCTTGTAAAACGATTGATTATCATACGGACGAATTGAAAAAGGTCGTGTAAGATACCTTATGAGAGCAACAGTACTTTCAATTTGAAAAATCACATTATACTGGTGTCTTTTACGTCGTACGGGCGATTAACGTACACAACGAAACGAATACACGTGTTCGGGTAAAAGGTTGTGAATACATGTGAACACGTGCACATTGCATTATGCAAGTCGAGTTTACCCGACCCTCTTTGCCGAGTTTTTATATAGAAAGCAACGGGGACTTCGAAATCGATGAAAACCAGGCTAACCCAATTAGGTCGAAACAAAGACTTTTCCTGGCTATGCGAGAACAGATATATAGATGAATGTGTCGAGTTTATACTTGTTAGACATTAGACAATACTTCTTATTTTATGTTCAAGATAAATACTTTTCAAGTAAAATCATTCAAGAAAATAATTTCATTAAAATGCTTTTAACAAACTATTTGTTAGTTATAATATATATATTTCTTTTTCACACATACAAACACATACACACACATAATCGCATATGATCAATTCCCATTTCTATTATTTATTTTCTTTTTCTACATCGATTGACCTGTTGCAATCAATGACGAAGTGAAACGTGACAATTGTTTGCTCAGTATCCTTCAAATCTCGCGTATTTGATTTTTCATTTATTTAGATTGGTAATAGATTGTTTTTCTTTTTTTATATATATATATATATATATATATAGTCATATTTTATTATTTATGTAATAATTTATATATTTTATACGATATTAGGTATTATATAATATTTGTTTTTTTTTTCTTTTCTTTCTATTGTATAAATGAACGTGTGAAATATATGAAATATGTTACTTGTTAAATGTGTATGTCTTTAGATAAATTCATGATTTTATGTACTATTTTTATGTAATTCAATTCATAAGCTTTGCATAGTAACGACAAATTTCATTTTCTGTTAAATACGACGTAATTATGATCATTTTTAGGCGCGTCCGTCACGTGGAATTGGCTGGCTTATGCAATCACTATTGCGAAATCATTTGACTGCTATAACTTTTGATAAAAATGACATTTTGCAATTAGGTATGAAGGTTTTAACGAATTGTTAGATTATTTTAATCTTAATGATGTTACAACCGTACCAAAATTTTTACAATTTTATTATTCGTTTTTTTTTTTTTTATTAAAAAGAAATATATAATGAAATTAGTAGATAAAATAATATTTAATTTTAACGTGCGCGGTATAAAAAGTTCGAAATGGACGACTCGAATATTTGTACGATTCGAAAATTGTGATGGAATTTTGAACAAATATTTATTTTATCGTTTATAAGAGATCAGTTTAATATTAATTTTAACGAAATTTAATAAAAGAAAAGATACAATTTTTAAATAATATTAATACGAGAAAATTAATGAAACATCACATATTCTTGTAATTAAATTTGAAGAAAATATTTTAACAAATCGTATATAAATTTTCTAAATAAAAAAAATTCCTATGATACATATATTTTGAAAAAGGCAAGAAAAAAAAACCATATAAATTGCGAAAACGTATCGTTTGTGTTTCTTTTTGTTTCATTAAAAATTATACAGTACAATGTGTAATACAAGTAAAATAAGAAAAAAAAGAAGTAAGAAGAAACAACACAAAAGGTGCTAGCAATATTAAAAATAATTAACACGAACATTATTCGTGATCGATCATGACTCTGACCAAATTAATTAAACTCGATTTAATATTCGGAAAATGTTTTCCTTATTTGCCAAGTATTATATTATCGCACAAAATTTATCTTCGTATATAACACGAGCTTAATTAATGTTTGCACACTCGTCGATGCTACATTTTATAATTGCAAATAAACATTAAATATATTTTATTGATTTGTAATGTTTGTCATATAACAACATATACAGGGTGTCTCAGGTTTTACCAGCCAAATGTTAAGAACTTATTCTATTGGGTTGGCCAAGAAATTGTTTTCAAAATCAAAATCCATAGCTCAACGTGTAATTTATAAAAGGGTTTCATTGTTTTTGTGTCCAATTTTCTAATATATATTTGAATTAGAAAATGTACAACACCAGAAAGTATATTTTTTGTGCATATTATTCATTTGATTTAGTATCAAGATTTTTATTTATTTCTTTCGTTAAAAAATTTGCTTAACATTTTGTCCTACAACAACGAGTAAGACTCGTGGTAAGAAATGTGGGCAAAAAACAGTAAGCATGTGCCTTATTCGTATTTCGTTTGGATAAAACGTAAACGAGACGAGTCAGACTCGTGATTCAGTTGTTATCGATATTTTCTTACTTTATTTACATATTATTCTTTGTTACGTTTACACGTTTAGGTTATAATTCCTTTGAAGGATTAAACAACCCTTATACCTATCATATCAGTATAAAAACAATCTAATATTGTGGTCCGAGGTTAATAGAAAAAATGGAAGCCTGTGAAATGCATATTTTTGAATTTTTGGCAGAAAAAGTTAACAAATTTTTGATTGGTAGCATTATGAAGTTACCTATGAACTCGCAAAACGTAATAAAACAAAATGGCTAATATATAATCTTCATAAATTTTCTATATTAACAAAATTACTACATTACTTATTGGTAAATCCTATGCAAGTTGAATTAAAGAAAAAATGTCATATAAAGTTTCATTAGAAACGTTTTATTCCATAATTATTACAAATAATATAATATCATCCCAAACACACACAACATTCTTGATATTAACTCAAAGTTGTCTGTTTCATTGATGAATTTTCATTTGCAAAATATGAAAGGTCTTCATCTTTCCATTTAAAAATATTATTGTCATACATGAGTCTTTAAATATTTTCAATTAGTAGAATTGTTATCGTGACGTGAATTAGATCAAGAAATTTGAGTCATTAAAATGCCAAGAATGTTTTCCAATGAATAATACGTGCTAATTTATTTTACATATACCGGGTTTTTTTTTTTAATGGGAATTCTTCAATTTTATTCATTACTGTTAACTTACAAATAATTTTCTTCATAACTTCGTAATATAAAGTGTTTTTAAAAGCAAATTTTATGTGACACTTTTTTTTCTACTCTCCATATTTCAACTTGTAGAATAAGTTTCCAAAGTTTGGTTGGAAAAAAAACTTGAGACACCCTGTACGTGTATGTATTACTATACGATACTTTTTCGCATCTGTAACGATCTACACAGAGTCATAATTTGTCACACGTGCCATTGCAGAAAATATAGTATATCTATATACACACATATGTATATTTTGCTTTAAGCTTCGAAGTAATGTAGGCTAATCACAGATTTGCACCGTTTTTTTTTTTCTCTTTTTCTTTTTCATTCTACTCTCTCTTTTGCTCCCCTCCTCCTTTATCCCCTTCTCACCCCTTGCGCTTCCTTTTCACTCGTCTGTTATTATCTTTCTGAGCCTGTCTTCTGGCTCCTCTTTTCTTCAACCTTTTTTATTCTTCCATCTTCTTTCGTTTCTTCCCTTGCATCACATTTTTGATTTATCTCAAATATCTTTCTTTTCTCTTCATTATTATTATTATTATTATTATTATTGTTATTATTATTATTTTCTTTATTGTTCGATATTAAATGTATTGGGTTTGCCAAGAAATAATTTTACAATTTTGTTTTAACGTAGAGAATATTTATTCGAATTATTATATATGTTTGTTATTTTATATATGTAGTTTCATAATACGACTTATCTAAAATTATTTGTATGGCCAAAAATTTAGAAATACACAATCCGCAGACCCCTATTTTTTTCCATTAAGCGAATTTTGTAACGAACGAAACAAATGAAAATCCGATTACACTAAATCGGATAAATATGTAGACAAAAATAAATACCTTTTCGTTGTTAATCTTCAAATTTAAAAATAAATATTATATTATAACATTTGACCAAAAGTAATAAATTCTTTTTTAAATTGTACATTACAATTTCAACTGTCAAACTATGTATGCGTTTTATAGGTTATAAATAATATTTTGATTCATAAAAACAGCAGAAAGAAGATCTTTTATAGATTAATCGGACATTATTTATATTTGTCTAACACACTATTAGATAAATATTTATTTCATTTCTACTAGATGGATATTTATTTTATTTACAATCTGTTGGCCCAGCAAATAAATTTGGTTATATTAGGTTATAGCAATAAATTCGGTGTGTTTTATTTAAAATTTATTTACCGATTTATAAAACAATCGTACAATATTGTTATTCTTCGAAATAGTCTCCATTATTTTCGATGACTTTGATGACTTGATGAAGAAATCGCGATTTTGATACGATCAATTTAACCTCTTGTGCTACAAGTTGATGCTATGTATGTGCCATAATTTACAGTATGTTCACGTCGTACGTCGAATTAATTCACGGTTAGGCTAAGCGTTCGAAATTATGACAATTGGACAGGTCTTATGACATGTTCAGCCCTAAAAACAAATTACGAGACTGACAGGTGTTGTTTATATTTACCCCAATCGATATATATCAAATCTCATCTATAATTTGTATGTTTTGTCAATTTTATTTATCACGAGTCTCACTCGTGATTCTTATTTTTTTTCCTATTTTCTTTATCACGAGTCTCACACGATACTATAGGGTAAGGGGTTAATCAAAGTACCGAATTAATTGCTACACTTAATATATAATAGTTTCTTACAAAATTTGTTATAATCTATAACATTCGTAGAGAAACATTCTTTTAATTTTATGTCCTACATCACAATAACATATTACTTAACGCTTCTTTGCATGATGATGAAAATTTCAATCATAATATTTAGTCAACAAAGAAAGGTACTCAAAACCCTTGTACTGTATATTTGTTGTTGCTGGCAACTTTTTAAGCGACTATTGCGTACAACAAAACGCGGTTGTCAAAAAATAGCACTAGGATTTTTTTAAATATTTTTCCTTTAAACTAGAGCATTAATTACATCACCCTGATTTATTTTAAAAGAAAAGAAAAAATCATGCAAAGAAGGGTTAACTTTCTAACCTCTTATATTAGTGTCTTCCTTATCCAGTATCAATAACTTAGAACCTAACCTAACAAACTAAAACAATAACCTCAAAACTTGAATAATTTAAACTCTAATTGAATTATTTAACTTGATTTATACTGATTTTAAACATAGAAAATTTTTTAAAGCGTCAATAACCTTAAGTATCAAATGTTTTTATTTTAATATGGAGAAGAATAAAAATTGTTTCGTAATTTTTGTTAATATGCATTTGACAAAATATATGTATAACGAACGATCATGCATAACGGTCATATAGAAACCTTGAAATATTGATTTGTTCGTTGAAGCTGATTTAATCGACGGTCTAGCACAGAGGCGTCACTTGTTATACAGCCTATAAACAAAGGCTGACGTTGTAAACGTACTTTTAGCTATATCGGAAAAAAAAAAATTGAGAATTCAAGAAGGGCAGGTGGTAGTGGATTAACGTTTTATCTATTACAGTTGGCGTTTTAAAAAAAGAAAATCTAATTTTAAATGAATTCTTATTTGACTAGACAGATATAGTTGTTCATTTCTTTTTTTTTTTTTTGATAAAATTTGTAATTTTGTTCTGATATTCATATTTATATATATATTTTTTTTTTATAATATATATGTCTATTTATAGATGTCCCAAAAGTTGATTTACCGAGAAAACAAAATATCGATATTGGTTTATTAATAGAATTACAATATTTTGTTTTTATACTAGAAAATATGAATTTTCGATACAAAGGTGTTGGTAAAAAGTTATCGACTCGCGATGCCAATATAATCCAAATATTTATCCCAAAAAAAAAAAAAGAATATTTAATTCTTTTTATATACACTGATAATTACGACAATGTGAATTACAAGTCTAAAGATGTCGACGAAAATTGATCTTATGATTTTCTTCTTTTTATTTATCTTACAATTATTTATAATATTATCGAATAAAAAAGAAAAAAAAAAACATCAGTTCCACTGTCTATAAATCATTTCTACGGGTAATATAAGAGGTGATTTTGATTTTCTTTGTAATATTTCAATTTCGTATATTTTTCGTGAAATAATTATTGTATTTGTTGTTTTTTATTTGTGTTTAAGGGGCTTCGGAAAACAAGGATATCAGTGCCAAGGTAAGAGGGTCAGTCTGATCTCACCGACCACCTCTTCGGCAGGTGTGATCTTGAGGAAGACCTCTGGGCACATTTTGCTTGTGTTTCAGTCTGTAGTTTCGTCGTTCACAAGCGATGTCACGAATACGTGACCTTTACCTGTCCTGGAGCGGACAAAGGAGCTGACTCGGACGTGAGTGTCAATACGTATCTAACTTCTAACTTTTCTTTTTCGTTTTATTTTCTTTTTTACAGATATATATATATATATATGTTACCGTTAAAACGTTCAATTCAATTCATTTAGAACAAATAATTGTAATCATTATACGAAATGATTAAACGTTTTAGAATTTAGCGTATATAAAATAGAATTTTATTAAACACTTTAACTAATTGTTTTATATGAAATAACTTTATATTTTATAAATTTTTCTTCTTATTTTTTTGTTTTTTAAATTACACGCGTTTTATTTTAAAAGTGCATATATTTTTTTTTTTTGAAAAACAGATGCATTCGATATTATTTATTAGTCAAACAATTAAAGTACCACGTAATGTTTCAACGATAACACCGTTAATTTCTTTCGATCAAAAACTTTGATATATTTCAATTTCATCGTAAGATTATTTTATTTCATTGGCGACATTTTCCGTAGTGTTTAGTACTGACCGCGCTAAAGTTTTCAATTTTTCATCAAACTTTTACTGGATCAAGTTTATTTTTACGAACTTATAATGACCCTGATACGTTTCTCAACATAATAGTATGTTCAAAGTCGATAGAACAACGTGACTCCCAGAACATTTGTTTTCAAAGTATGGTAAAAGAACGGAACGGATAACTACGAACATTATTGTATAAACAATAGGTGATTTTAAATACGGATCTAATTTCAATTTCATACTTTAACTATTTATCTATTGCAAATATATATATTACCTTATTGAAGTATGTAATTCTGACTTATTTATTACTTTACCTAGTCAATATAGTTATTTCATCTAATAGATGGTTATGTGATGAATCAACAAATTTTATAAAATAACGGTAACATATATATATATATATATGTACACATGTATATATTTATATATTTTCCTTTTCCTTTTTTTATTCAAATAATTCGCCTTGTCTCTCTCCTTCGCTCATCCGAAGCCAAGGTTACAGCGCTTAATCGATTAGAAATAATGCAAGACTCGAACGCAATCAACGAACAAAAAAAAAGAAAAAAAATATAAATAAAAAGAAAAGAAAATTTTCTCCACACCATATATCCTCATATTTTTTCCATGACTTATATAAATTCGATTAATATCTTTCATGTCGCGCCAAAGGATTTTTTTGATTATTTTCCGTTCGAGAATTGCACGGGGTGTAATACGCGTTATTATTAACGTGTAAATAAATGAACTAAAAAAGAAAAGAAAAAAAAAAAACATCAATTTTACAATGATAATATCTAACTACACGAATGGAAAGTTTAGTACGAATATAATTCTGCCTACGTGCCATTAAACCTGTTAATAATGAATGTCAATTGTAATCGACGGTATGTGTATGTAGGTTGTCACCAAAAGTCGTTTTAACGAGAGCAAAACAAAAACAAAATAAAAAATCAACATAAGTTAATTAATATTATATCGTCAAGTAACACCGTATTGGAGTATAATAAATGTAACAAATTAAATTTCCTCGATTCTGACGTAAAACCCCATTTTTTTACGACAACAATACAAATCTCATTATCGAAAATTTGATCAATCAGCAGATTAATTTATGGCACGTGTATCGACTACAAAAATTGCCTGATTTGATATTTTTCAATTTCATTGAAATGTTTTTCGGTTTCCTACGAGGACTCATTGTCCTCTTTCCCTAAACTGAAAGTGCAATTTTCAGGATTCCTTCTTCCTTGTTGATGGTCTATAAACTGACGGTCATTTGAATCCCCATGTTGAAGACGACACCCCCATTGAAATTTAGAGACGTGTTTGAGCATTTGCGTAACGTGTCCTTGATGGTCACGTTATAATCTTTGTTCTCTTATTTTCTGTTTTTTTTTCTTTCTCGAACCTAATGAAACCCAGATGTAATTTTGACGTATCCTTGTCGTAACCCTGACGCGTTAAAGTCTTAAATAGAATTTAAATATTTAATTTTTCATTTAAAAATTATGTTATTACGAATCTTTATAATGATGTTAACATTTTTAGTCTTATTTCTCTTTCATAAAATAAAAAATATCTCGTTTATTCAAATGGTAATATACTTTAATGACGCGTACATTGAATAACATAATGAAAATTGATATTTAAAATAGAATAAATATCGATGTAGATTTTATTACAAATCAAATTATTACTATTAAAAAACAAAAGTATTTTAGATATAATTATAGAAGAAGAATGACACGTAAAGCAATAAGTTATTGTTTTTTTTTTCTTTTTCTTTTTACCAACGAAATATTCTTTCTATTCAAAATGTTGGAAAAAGATTTGCCATTCTTTGATAAAGCGACTTTTGGTGTACCCTGTACATCGATTAACCCTTCAGAACACAGATCTTTCGGACTACAGTCATTTACTCGCGTGATGAGAAAAAATCTCACTTAATTGCACCGAATATATGATGTCACTTACAATTTTTAACAATAACAATTAATTATCGCATTTTTGCAATTATAAATGACCAAGTATGCTTATAAATACAAATTTTCAGTCTTATTGAATCTGTATACCTATATATAATTTCAAAATGGCAGCTGAAATTACGGAGATAGCCGAAGTGTGACGGGACTATCCGAATAACGTAATTTTTATGTTACCATTTTTAGTTAGGTTATGTGAGAAACTCTCAAAGCTCTTAATAAATATATTTGTTTGTTCATATTCCGAATTAAAGAAAACAAATTTCTTTTTAGTATCCTGTTAACCATAAAATGTTGCGAAGGTAACAAATTTTCCAAGTGGTCATTTCATTCGAAACTTTAAAAATAAAAATGTCTTCAAATGAGTACGAGAGAGAATCTCTCTACACGTATGTTATGAAGGGTTAACAAAGATTTCAATTTATCGGGAAGAAAATTATGCGTACACACACGCAAATAAATTACTTTCTAAAATTAATCACACTTTTTTCTAATATCTTGTGATTTGTCTTGTTGATAAATTAATGATACAATTTAGCAAAGATATTAGCATTGGTAGCGTACGAAAATATAATAATTAATAACGAGATCATTGGCTATTAAAGGAGAGTGATGGAGGGGGAGAGAGAGAGAAAGAGAAAGAGTGTTAGAATGAGAGAAAGAGAGAGAGAGAGAGAGAGAGAGAGAGAGAGAGAGAGAGAAAATGAGAGAGAAAGTGTGTGTGTATGTGTGAGGGAGAGATAGGGATAGAGAGAAAGAATTTGTATATTTGTATGTATGTATGTATGTATGTATGTGTGTGTGTGTGTGTGTGTGTGTGTGTGAGAGAGAGAAGGCAACAGCCGGCTAAAAGCCTTCAGCATTTTCTTGCACCGCGCACGATTGGCCTAAGCGTTTTCAGCTGTTCGTTTAAATCCCACGCTTACAAAACCACAAATGCGCTAATGCTGAATAATTTAGCAAATAAATACGAAAACAAAAATATATAAATGATAAAAATTTGTGTTAATATTATTGTTTTTTGTTTCTCGTGGAAAACCAAGGTGTTTACGGCTCGTTTGTTAAAATAAAAAAGTGTACGGTTTTTTATTAAAATTTCTAAATTTCTTTTCTTCTTTATAATACGATAATTTGTATGAAAATATTGTCTTTTTAATTATCAGATATTATTAATAAGTGTTTAAAAAAAATATTCTAAACATTCTAAAAATTTATTCTAATATTCGAACAAGAAAGAGGAATGTTTTCAGATAGGAGAAAAATAACGAATTGATTTTAATACTAATTGCATGTTAATGGGTATATTAAGTATTAACTTTAATAACCGAACCGCAAACAATCTCTGGTAACCACATATTTGTCGATTATTTCAACGAAATATATTTAACCGATCTATACTCTTAAGTTTTTTACATTTTTTTACGTTCTCGATAAGAATTTATTATCCGTGCTTTAGCGCTTTAAAAACAATCGGTTTTCCTTATATCGATCCCTTCTACATTCTGATGATCATGGATCTCTCCATCATTCGCGTCATTATGATTATTAAATGATAAGTATACTTCGATATACAGGTGTCCCTAAATTTACGCGAATTTCCGTTCAAAGCGAATTTTGTTGTTTTTTTTTCCTTTTTTTATGCATGCAAATGAAAATCGCCTAAATAATGTCTAGAAGTATAAAAAAAAAGAAAAAAAAGGGGAATAAATATTGGAAATAAAAGGTAATATAAATTATAGAAATACATATTGAAATTCTGAATTAATAATTCAGAAAAAACAAAAGTACATTTTATTCATTTTTATCATCGATATTGTTATTATTAAACAATCAATCTTTTCTTTTTAATCGACACAAACTCATCGTTTTTCGTCGGTTGAAATATTTTAAAGCTCAACTTCGTTATCATTGTTATGATTTTTTATTAACATTTTTTCTTACTAAGTTTTCATAAATTTCTCGATATTCGTTGCAACATTTCGTTTAATTGTGTCAAAATTTGAAGTTTCCTTGAATGTTTGGATCAATTTCTATAATGGTACTTTTCAATATTTTGGTTTAAAAAAATCCTAATAACTTTGTTATGCAAGTGTTATGAAATAACATCATCGAGTAATCGTAACCAGCTTATAAAAATGAGTTTTCTTATCAGTGTTAGTGGCAATACGTTCACAGATTGTTGTCATTCTATAGAATGACCAGAAAATTTCAGTTAATCTATAAAGTGTACTTCAGTGTAATATGTTTAGCGTACAGGAGTGAGGGGGAGAAGGGGTAAAAAAATCTGAAGCTATTGTAAATGAAATAAACCATGGAAAATTGAAAAATGTGTATACAATATCAATTTATAAAATGTGCTTCAGTGGGGTGTGTTTAGAGGCCAGAAGAGGGATGGGGGAAACAAATCATGAAAATTAAACAAATTCCCCCTTCTTTCCCGTACATTTTATAGATTGGCCGAAACCCTCTGGGTATTCTGTAGAATGCTCGCAGTAAATACATTTTTCGTAACGTATATACACTTGTTGCATTTATAACTTCT